TTCAAAGGAGAAGTTTATCATATTCTTGTAACACTATTTACAGTCACAGGGATAATGCCATCTGTACCCAGACTGAGTCCTGAGAAACTTAAGAGATTGGGGAGAGAAAGAGGGACAAGCAAAGGGAACTAAGAAGAAACAGCCAGGGCCGGGTGATTGGAGCGCTGGTTAAGAGCTGGCTTGGGAGCGTGAGCTCTGAGCAGCAGGGTCCCCTGTTTGAATCCCACATGGGCCAGTGACGCTGCACCCTCTACAGCTAAGATGGTGAACAACAGCTCGACCTGGAACTGGGCTGCCATGAGTCGCTGGCAATGGCATAGGCTGCAGTGGGGCTGCAGTGGGCTGCTGTAAGCTACTGTGAGTGGCCGGCAGCCAGCGTAAGAGGCCGTCCAATGTCCGATGAGCAACTGCCTCACCCGGGGAGAGTGCAATCATAATACCAACACGGGCCAGTGAAGCGACGTCCTCCACTAGACTGAAGAACAAAAGGACAGCAACTTGTCTGTTCCCCTTCCCCAATTCTCCAACGCTGTTCCCTCCCCCAATTCCCCAATTAAAAAATCTTAAAAAAAAATTTTTTTTTAATAAAAAAATTATAAAGGAAAAACAGCCAGAGACACAGTAGGGAAACCATGGGTGTACTCTCATGGAGCCCAAGAGAGCAGAGCATTTCCAGAAGGGGGCTGCCGCCAACTGGGTTGAATGCTGAGAAGCTGAGGGAGGTGAAGACAGAAATGTGTTCAGTGGAGACTTGGCAGCAGAGAAGGTGCTAGTGACTTGACAAAAGCCATTTAAGTTGAGTTGGGGGAATGCAAGCCAGGTTGGAGAGCAAAAAAAGGTAAGGAAATAAAGACAGCTGGTGTAGACACTTTCCAAGAAGTTGGTTTGTGAAGAGGAACAGAAAAATTGGGCAATAGATAAAGGGAGATGTGAGGCCCGGAGAGTAGTTCGGTCACCATTGCCATAATTTTGAAGAAGGGAGAGGTCGATGGTGGTAGAGACAAGATAGCTAGGGAATAAGGTCCTCGGGAAGGCAAGAAGGGTCAGGCCCGGAGCCCATGTGGAAGGTCTGGCCTCTGGTGATTCTTCTTCTGAAGATGGAGGAAGAAGGGGGCGGGGGTAGTGACGATACTTGTCGATTCGACAGTGTGTGATGCCTCCTGTTTTCTCAACGAAGACTGGAGGCAAAGTCACCAGCTGGGAGCATCCTGAGGAAGAGTGAGAAGGTTTGAGGAAAGAAGAACAGGCATGAAGTAGTTGCTCTCAAAAAGTGGAAAAGAGGCTACCAGAGAAACCTGCACTTACAGGGCCGAACTGAGGGCAAACCTATGGAGTTTCACCACGAAGTCAACGTGAAACCAGCCAGGTCTTTCCTTTGCGGCAGCAATGTCCAACTGCTCACGGGCTGACTCGGGACAGCTTAGCTGGGACAGGCGATCTGGGGTTTCCCCAGGTGGGTGAGATAGAAGAGAGGAGGCAGGAGGCTGGAGTTGAGGGTACTTTCAAGGGTGGAATTGTGATAATGGCTCTTGTAACTGAGGGTGTGCAAGGAGGGAAGTGAAGACAGAGAGTCTGATGGAGAGGGAGAAAGTGCAAGGTTAAAGGACTGAAGGCATCAAGAAGCAGCCAGTACTTGAGCTAAGCTCAGAGGTACGAGGAGCAGGGAGGAGAGTACTGGAAGAGGCGATATCAGAGAAGATACGGTTTCTGGTTATGATTTAGGTTCAGGGGGTGCTTAAAGGAGAAAGGGGCTAAGGTAGAGCGCTCCTCTCATTCATTCATTCATTCAATAAACTTTCACTGAGCCCTAGGCACACTGCTGGCACAAAGGAATGATCCTCTCAGCCAGGGTGCCCAGGGAGGGCTTCCTGGAGGTAGTGTTTTTTTTTGTATAGGTTGAGTCTAGATGGATAAATTAAAGCTCTTCAGAGAGACAAAAAGGAGGGATACTCCAGGAGGTTTAACAGACCATAAACAAAGGCATGGGTGGGGTGGGAAGCAGCTTGGTTCATTAGTAAAAATGGAGGTAGCATGGCCAGAGGGTGGGAGGGGGTGGTGTAGAGGTAGGGATCAGATTATGGAGGGCCTTGGGAGCCATGCAGAGGAGTGTGGACACACTATTAAGCAAAGGGAAGCCACTGAAGGATTAAGCAGGGCATGACATGTTCAAACTTGTGATTTTAGAAATGTGGATGGTGGGCTGGAGGGGAGCCTGCTGAGAGGTAGGGAGGCAGGTGGGAGGTTATTTAAATAGAGCGGGTGAGGGGTAATGAGGCAGCAATAGCCTGGAGGATGGAGAGTGGCGTGGGTGCTGGAAGGGAGCACGGGGGTCAGGGCTGAGGAACTGACCAGTGTGCCGCCAGAATGCTTTCAGTAGCCACCAACCAAAACCATGCCTCAACTGGCCTAACCAAGGAGGACATTTTCTGCCTCACATAACAAGACATCCAGATGTGAAGTGGCTTCAGGGTTGGTGGAGAGCATAGGAGGAGAGGAATTTAGGTGATGTGCAAATTTTGAAGGGAAAGGTGTGGAGTCCGGTTGAGGCCAGCTGGGGCACAGCGGGAGGAGGTGTCAGGCTGGCTGTGCCATCTATGGGTCTGGTGCCAATGTGCCAGGCACCAGATTCAGTGGTGACCCCAAGCCCCAGCCCACAAGGAGTCTGATGGGGAAGACAGACACCAACGGACAAACATGCAAGCAGGCCATGAATTACCATTGACCTAAGAGCTGTGCAGGCTGTGGCTACATGTGAAAGGGAGCCAAACCTGACGGGTCTAGGGCCCTTGGGGAGGTGGGAACAGACGTGGCAAAGTTACAGAAACAACGGAAAGGAGGTGGGTGGCGGTGGGAGGAGGACGCAGGGTAGAGGTGCGTGCTGTGAAGCGACGACGCCGGGGCTGCAGACCAGGCCCTGGAGAAGCAGCGTCTTCCAGAAGCAGGAAGGAGGAACTCACAGATCAGGGAGGGAGGGTGGCCAGAGGAGCTGGCCAGGCTCTTCTCTTGAGAAGAAAGGCAGTGGCCGTGTCAGATGTTCGAGGGAGGGCCAGCTGAGAAGAAGCCACTGGGTCTGGCCACGGGGGGCCTCTGGTGACTCCAGTGAGTGTAGTTTCGGGTGCTGGGCCAGAGCCAGTCTGTGTCTGGTTTTCTGTGGTCCCACTTGGGGTCCTGTGAAGGAGAGAGTGGGCAGCATTGGCCAGAGGATTGTTGCCAAGTGAGGTCTATGAACCGGGAGGGTGCCCAGCAGCCATGGGGTCCCTCCAGGGTCATCTGGCAGGTCAGCATCTTCTGTATGGGCATAGACATGGGATCGGTGACGGGGATGAAGGAAGGAAGGTGTGTGCTGAGTGGTGAAGTACAACCGTGGGCTTGGTGTGAGGGGTGGTTTCAGGCTGTGTGTGTGTGCGCGCGTGAACGTGTGCTCACACACATGCGTTCCCGCATACACGATGGGGCCAATGAGCAGCTGGGGGACAGGGTCAGCAGGAATGAGCAGAGTCATCCCCCCGTGGAAACACGACTCCCTGGGTGATGGTAGGGAGCAGCTGGGCAGCCAGGCTGGGGAGTGGCCAGCTCTGCCCAATGGTTCTGGCCGCTCCCTGGGCCACCCTCCCCACCTGTTGACCAAGCCTGAGGAAGTGCCTGCGCTGGCCGGGCCAGGGCACTCACTGCTGGAGCATGTGAGCCCGCTGAGAGAGAGCTGCCCTCTGGTGTAGCTCTGGGTGCCTCTGGTGGGGGGTTGGGGTGGGGTCTGCCTGAGCCCCTGTGATGGAGGGGTGGTTCCGGAGTGTCTGTACTGGCCTTGTGGCTATATGTGACTGGGCTGCAATGGTCTCCCTGTGCCTGCCTCCTAATGTCAGTCATTCCCCAGGGCCTTTGCAATAAGCGACCCACCACCTCCCTTCCACAGAGAACAAGCTCAGGAGGGCTAGGCAGGGGCCAGGAGAGGCGGGAGATACAGTCCACACAGCGCTCTCAGGCCTCTAGAGCCCCTGGTGGGTGCCCCGTCATCACCCAGTTCATACAGCCAGAAACAGTCCCTGGGAGCTCTAGCCCTGCCCCCACCACGGAAACTGCCCACCTCCTTGTGCTCATGACCTTTTCTGTGTGTCTTTCTCTTCCACGTTAGCATCTGTAGGACCCCCCCACACGCCCTGCATCTTTCTGCTCCAGCATCCCCCTGCTTTCCCGTGGGTTAGATCCCTTAGGTCCTGTTGGGGAGAGCTGGTGGGACCCTCTGCAGGGTCTGGGGCCCTTCCTTCTTCCCTCTTCCAGCCCATCATCGCACTTCCCCAAAGATCAGGACAGGATGCTCTACACGCCCACATCTTTCTCTTCCCTCCAGACCAAGTGGCAAACACAGGCAGATGCACTACATCCTCCTTTCTCATGCCCCTGGCAGACATCACTAATCAATCACAGCTGTCTTTTTACACTGAGTCTGGCTGCAACCTTGATGGTCTCTGCCCACATCTCTAGGCAGCCGATAGCAGCCAATCCAAGTTGGCCCTCAAGATGAAATCGCTTTGCCCTTTCTGCTTCAGGCTGATCTCCCCCAGGCCCTCATCTTAGCCCATCCTCTGGACCCACCAGCACATTTCACATCTGACTCCTTTCTGCCTCACTTTGGAACAGAGGCCATATGTGGACATAATCAGCTGTGATTCTCTCTGTTTTTGTAGGCTGAAGCCACACAGTTCCCAGAGCTTGGGCGCAGGAGGCAGTCGAGGGCACCGGGGCATTGACCCCAAGTCCCCAAGGCTGAAGAGGATCTGGCTGGTTTACCATCAGTCCTGAGGGCAGCCAACCCCCTGTGGGGGAGAATGTGGTGTTGGGTTCAAGGGTGATGCTCTGTGTTCAGCACCTTTGCAACAGCAGTGCCTAGGCCTTGCACACATATCTCCCAGCCCCAACAGGGCCTGTACACCCACCTCCCCAGCCTGGCCTCTGGACAGGCAGGGGGTGAGTAGTAGACAGCAGACCCAGGGCAGAGTGGCTGCCCAGCACCTGGGGGGCTGCACAATACAGCTGCCCCAGCTGCCCGCTACCCTCCTGGATCCTGAGCCCAGGATGCAAGGATGGCCCGCCCATCTCTGTCCACCATGGTGCCTCTGGGCCCCCATAGCCTGCGCCCCTTCACCCGGGAGTCCCTGGCAGCCATAGAACAGCGGGCTGTGGAGGAGGAGGCCCGGCAGCTGCGGAACAAGCAGATGGAGATTGAGGAGCCTGAAAGGAAGCCACGAAGTGACTTGGAGGCTGGCAAGAACCTGCCCCTTATCTATGGGGACCCCCCACCTGAGGTCATCGGCATTCCCCTGGAGGACCTGGATCCCTACTACAGTGACAAGAAGGTCTGGACCTGGGAGGGTGCCCTCTACCTGTCTGTCCATTGTGCATCTGTCTGCCTGTCCCTAGGCCTCACAGCTCTCTCCCTGCCTCAGACCTTCATCGTGCTCAACAAGGGCAAGGCCATCTTCCGCTTCTCTGCCACACCCGCTCTTTACATATTGAGCCCCTTCAGCATCATCAGACGAGGCGCCATCAAGGTGCTCATCCACTCATATCCTGGCTGAGCGAGCGGGGCGAGCACAGGGCTGGGGGAGGCAGGGGAGGGTTAGGCATAAGCAAAACTGGGCGTTCTGGGTTGTGGACAAGGAGGCCCTCTGTTCACCTCCCCTCCCCACCTGCTCCCTCACTTTCCTTGACCCTCCCCCCAACGCTGTTCAGCTTGTTCATCATGATCACCATCTTGACCAACTGCGTGTTCATGACCATGAGCGAACCGCCCCCCTGGTCCAAGAACGTGGAGTAAGTTTCTCCCTCCCTGTGACCCCACCCCCACCCCCTGCTGGCCCTAAGACACAACCCATCCCAGGTATCTGTGCTTTGAGGATGCTCAGAGTAATAGTGCTCCTGTATTCCAGGGAGCTGCATGCTGTCACTGTCACCCCAGCAACACCTTAATCCCCTGGGATGGCATACATTGTCGCTCTCACCAAAGTCCTCAGCCCCCTGGGAGCATATTTCATTTCTGTGATCCCCTCTCCTGAGAGGTCCATCATTACCACCCACACCCTTGCCTGGGCATGACATGCCTGGCCCTGGCTGGCCCTCTTCTCGCCAGGTACACCTTCACAGGGATCTACAGCTTTGAGTCCCTCATCAAGGTGTTGGCCCGAGGTTTCTGCATCGACAGCTTCACATTCCTCCGCGACCCCTGGAACTGGCTGGACTTCAGCGTCATCATGATGGCGTGAGCAGGGGCCAAGGGCATCCTGAGGCTGAGGCAGGGAAGGGGAGAGGGCCAGGCCTCAAAGAGAGCAGCTGAGCGGGCTGCCCCTCTCAGACGGGTGGACTGCAGGGACCGCAGGTCAGATAGAAAGACAGTGAGCTGTACAAGGCTAGGAGTTTCCATCCCCAGGGTCTGGCTTGGAGGCTCTCCTACTGCCCCTCCACATACCATATACAACCACACGCAGCAGCCCTGGGCCCAGTCCCACAGGCCCTCACCTCCTAGGGGAGATGGGCTATCCTTGCCACCCTCACTCCCCAGCAAAGCTCCTGCACTGTCTTTCCCAACTCTCAGGCCCCAGTAGGAGCCTTGGTGTGTCTGACCTGTCCCCAGCCCCCTGTGGGAACCCCAACTACAAGGATTCCTGCCTCTCATCCACCCTTAGCTCTGACACAGCCCTCATCCCACCCCCACCTCCCCCACAGGTACCTGACGGAGTTTGTGGACTTGGGCAACATCTCAGCCCTGAGAACCTTCCGGGTTCTGCGGGCCCTGAAAACCATCACAGTCATCCCAGGTACTGGGGAGGTATAGGGACCCTCTGCCCAGGTCAATAGGCCACCCCCCATTCCCAGGCCTGGAACCTGACACTCAAGTCCCAGGGTCACAAGATTCCCAGGCTGTGTGTGTAGAACACACACCAAAGCCTGGACACATAGGGGCTCCCATGGCCAGAGAGAAGAAGGGGCCCCAGGCGGGAGGATGGGCATTTGAGAGGCAGCATAGCAAGGTGGTTAGAGCACAAACTCTGGAGCCAGACTGCCTGCATTCAATTCTCACCTCCTCCACTTCCTAACTTTGACCTTGGGTAAGTGGCTTAACCTGTCTGTGCCTCAGTGTCTGTAAAATGTGAATAATACATAACAGTGTCATGCATTGGGTTGTTATGAGTAGTAAGTGCTTTAATATCAATAAGGTGCTTAGAATAGCGCCTGGCACATGGTTGTGTGTGTGTGTGTGTGTGTGTGTATTAAATAAAATAAGCAGACGGCACAGAGACCACCCGCTGAGACACCAAGGGATCAGTGATGGAAAGTCCCGACCCTGAGTTCCATAGGGAACACACAGCTTATCCACTGAGCCATGAGGCCAGGCAATTCCAAAGTAATGCATCAAGAAGCAGGAAATAAATAGAACCCGGATCATCCAGACCCTCAAAAAAGCATGTGGAGAAACTGGAGAAGGTTCGCTAAAGGAGAGAAAGCTGATCTGAAAAGGGATGGACAACAGTCTCTAGGAGGAGGGGAAATTGTTCAGTCTTGATGCTCGAAAGTACCTTTTAGTCCTCCTCTAGTCCAAAGCTCTCAGGTGCAGTTTGGGAAGGAAACCCCAAGAGACCCCAATAGGGGAAGTTTTTAGCGAAGGCCACACTGTGTGTTGGCCACTGAGCCAAGATCATAACACCTTTCCTTGATGCCATGCTCCCAGCATTCTCAGAGCACAGGAGGGTTTTCATAAGGAGGCTGCTGAACACCCTATCCCAGGATAAGAAAAAGAAATGAACTGATATTGAAGAGAGAGACATTACGATTTGGCCCAAGGGAAGAAGTTATGGCTCTTCCATAAGTGATGGGAATCCGTCCCTGGAATTCTGTAAGAGTATTTTTATGCCTTTGTCCATCCAAAGGGACAGAATGAAAAGGTAGTGCAATGTCAGTCTAGAGCTTGTCAGAGTAAACCCTGCTGTTCTTTTGGGGGTTAATAGGCATTATCAGGAAAGGGGTTCTGTGGTCAAATAAGTTAGGCACCACCAGGCACCAATGCACCCACATCCTTGTCAGAGCCTTTGATAAGCTAATCTACACAATGACTCCCCAAGAGTGGAATATAGAGCCTTCCCCAAACATTGTTGAACCCCCCTTTTAAGGGTACAGCTTGGGAGATGAGTGTCCTGCAGATCACACTTTGGGAGTGCTAACCTCGTGACATTTATTAAGCTCTACCACGTGCCTATGTGTTGCTCTATGGGTCAGGCAGCAGCCCGTGAAATCTTTATCATCTATACTTCTAGTGGCTGAGATCCTGTGGCCATTCAAAGGTTCCTGATTGAGGATGTGATCAGAGAAGTGTAGGGCTAGGCTTCAGGGAAGTGGTGCCCCTAGTAAGTCAAGCCTGGAAGAAGCTGGAGTAGGCAAAGGCTTGGAGGGAAAAGTTATAAACCTGCCCTGCCCGCTCCCCCCTCCATACTCTTACCCTCCCTATGGTCAGGGCTGAAGACGATTGTGGGGGCCCTGATCCAGTCGGTGAAAAAGCTGTCGGATGTGATGATCCTCACTGTCTTCTGCCTGAGTGTCTTTGCCCTGGTGGGGCTACAGCTCTTCATGGGAAACCTGCGGCAAAAGTGTGTGCGCTGGCCCCCGCCCTTCAATGACACCAACACCACGTGGTATAGCAATGATACTTGGTATGGCAATGATACATGGTACGGCAACGATACGTGGTACGGCAATGATATGTGGGGCAGCCAGGAGACTGAGGCCAGCAACTATACCTTTGACTGGGATGCCTACATCAATGATGAAGGTAAGAACAGAAACTGGAAGGCCAGTTGGGCCGGTCCCAGCCCTGAAGGCAGCCCCTTGTGACATAAATAGGATGGGGAGGACGTGAACTTAAATCTATTACTTACCAGTTGGGTAACCTCAGACAAGTCGCTTGATCCCCCTGACCCTCAGAATCTTCACCTACAATACCTTTCTCAAAGGGCTAATGTGACAACAAATGTCAAATTGTTTTGAAAATTCTGAAGCTTTCAGTATAAAAAGCAACAGTCCATATTCCCTATTTCTTAACCTATGCACACTCCCTGTTCTCCTTCATCACAATATGTACTTGCATCCTGGCATGGCCACCACCAGGCACCAATGCACCCACATCCTATTCACATACTCATGCTTCATAGGCATGCACACACAAGACACAGGTTCTCACACGGCACTATTAGTCCACATAATGCCTCTGGCAAATTAGAAAAAGGCACCCTTTCTTCAACCTGGTATCCTGGAGTCTAGTCTCCTCCACCCCTCAGCCTCAGCCCTCAGTCAGGGACCCTGTGCAGGTACATGGTAGCCCCATGCACACACATACACATTCCTCCAATCTCTCTGTGCTCCCGCTGTATTCTGACTGTACAGCCACACTAGGCACTGAGCTGACACCACTTGGAGCTGAGCTCCCTGCAGTGTATCTACCCAGAGATCTTGGGACGTGGGCTACATATAAAGGAGGGGGAGGGGAATCCAGAGAGCATCTATTTGGTATGGTCCACACACATGTGTCCACACATGTACAGTGTGTCCATGTGCTCACAGTGTGTCCATGTGGGTAACATGTTTCCTTTGTGGCCTCTGATTCCCAAAGGGAACTTCTATTTCCTGGAGGGCGCGTTGGACGCCCTGCTCTGTGGGAACAGCAGTGATGCTGGGTGAGTGATGCTGGGCAATGGGAAAAGGTGCCCCAGGGGTGTTGGGAAATAGGGGCTGATTCAGGCCAAGGACCTGGGATGGATGGGAATGTAAAGAAAACCCCTGGGCATGAGTCGAACACTTTCCTGTTTTCGGAACATAGATAGGACTGAAGGATTGTTTTTTTTCTTGGGGCTTCCCCTCTGTTCCCCAGTTGGCGCTTTCCTCCCTCCCTAAAACCAGCCCCTATTTTCTCTCCAGGCAGTGCCCCGAGGGTTACGAGTGCATTAAAGCTGGGAGGAACCCCAACTATGGCTACACCAGCTATGACACCTTCAGCTGGGCCTTCCTGTCTCTCTTCCGCCTCATGACACAAGACTACTGGGAGAATCTCTTTCAGCTGGTACAGCTGCCCCCACACTGCTCTTCAGCCCTATAATCACCTCCCTCCATTCTCACCGTCTCTTCTGGGTCTGGCAGGGCCCCCAGCAAGGCTGTCTTCTCTGTGGGATCCCCTCAGTGCCCCTTCATACAGGTTCTTGGAGCCCTCCAACACTGGGCACCTGCCCAGACCTGAGCCACAGCAGTCTCGTCTTCCTTTTCCATCATTGCTGAGATCTGGGCCTGGCACGGATCCCTAGGCCTCACAGTAACCAGTTGGGGAGCTTAGAAATTCAACTCTGCCCATACACAATTATTTAGCTTCTACTGTCTGCGGGGCAGGCAGGTTAGGTCTGGAGCAACAGTGCCTTGTGGTCCCTGGTGATGTTTCTAGCACTGATGATATTAACGAAAATAATAATAATAATAATAGTAGTAGTAATAATAATAACAACTATCCGTTGAGCTCTTACTAGATGCCAGGCACCATGGCAAAGCTAGGATTCAAGCTGACCTCAAAGCCCATGTTCACCATTTTTTAACCTGGCTCTCTGGTCTCAAGATGTCTGGCTGGAACCCTCCAGGCTCTCTGAGCCAGGAGACCAGGAAAATTTGGGTCCAGGAATATACTTGGAAGCTCCCCAGCTTTAACCTGCTAAGGATGACTGTGTCCTGGCTCAAAGCACCAGGTTCTGGGAAGGGCTGTCTCTGTTTACCTCTCTGGGCAATGGGTGTGTGGAGAGGGGTGGAGGATGAGAGCAGGCAGGAGGCCATGTGACGATGCTTCCTGTCCCACCCCCACTCCCAGACCCTCCGAGCGGCCGGCAAGACCTACATGCTCTTCTTTGTGGTCATCATCTTCCTGGGCTCCTTTTACCTCATCAATCTGATACTGGCGGTGGTGGCCATGGCGTATGCTGAGCAGAACGAGGCCACCCTGGCTGAGGATCAAGAGAAAGAAGAGGAGTTTCAGCAGATGCTGGAGAAATTCAAAAAACACCAGGAGGAGCTGGAAAAGGTCTGGACTCGGGGAGAGGAGGCTGAGGACCCAGGGATCACCCTGCCCCTCAGCCTGAGTTGTCCCAAACAGGCTGACGGGGAGGAGGAGAAAGGGCAGAGGTTTCCAGGCAGTAGAAAGAGTATTTTGCAGCTCTGTGCCTCCGTTTCCCCATATGGAACAAGGAATCTAGAATAGTTAAACCTGAAGTAGCTTTCCAGCTTAAATATCTATGGTTTTGTGATTCTTTCTGGGCAGAATATGGGTCCATGTGGAGAGAGAGGGGAGTCCTGATGAGGCCTCGGGGAGTAGCTGCCACTTACTCATCACCTCATGAAATGCAGGGTCAGTCAAGGCTTCACAGATTGATGGGTCATCAGGGATGAGGGTCCTCCATCACTTTTGTCCCTACCCTGTCACCCCCACTACCACTGAAGTCACCCCCTACACACACACACACACACACACACACACACACACACACACACACACACCTGCACTAGGCTCAGTGCAGGCCAAAAAGAGGAGCCCCTATTCTAAAGGACCCAGGAGGAAGCTGGGAGTCCATTAGTCCATCCCCCTGGCTCAGAGATGGATTTCATGCCATGACGCTTCCTGGTCCATAGGCCAAGGCTGCCCAGGCTCTGGAAGGCGGGGAGGCAGACGGTGACCCAGCCAGTGGCAAAGACTGCAATGGCAGCCTGGACACATCGACAGGGGAGAAGGGGCCCCCAAGGCCGAGCTGCAGTGCAGACAGTGGTATCTCGGACGCAATGGAGGGTGAGTGCCTGGCAACCCCATACCTGCCCTATTCTGCCTGCCCTGCCTATCAGGCCACTTGGGCTCCTGGGGGTGGGGGCTGGAGGTGGAGTTGACTGGGCCCAGTTTCAGAAGGACGGTAACTTAATATTGGCATCGAAGAAATGGCTGTGATAAATATAGTCCTGGCTTAACTCGGCCCAGTTCTGGCTGCAAGGCTGGGCTACTCCGGGAACTGGGGGCTTCCGGGAGGGCCTTGGGGGCTGCCAAGGCAACAGGGAAGGACAGGATAATAATACTAACCAGGAAGGCCCAATGTTCCAGAAACTGGAGACCCTGCTCCTCAAATGTCTCCTGGGTAAAAGCTAAAGGCCAAAGGTCAGACTCTGCCCAGGTAGAGTCACAGACTCCCCCAGATCACCATGTTGTTCCCTGAGTCTCAGGAGGAAAATGAGGTAATGAAGAGAGGGTAGTCAGATAGGTGGTTGGGTGGGCAGGAAGATTAATGAATGGGAAGATATATGGGTATATGGATGGATGAGAGGGAGGGAGGGAGAAAAGGAAGGAAGGAAATCTGTCATAGAAGAGATGTGGTCCCCTCCCCAGGCCGTTTGCCTTGAGCTTGGAAGAACTTGGAGGTCCTAGAGAACTTGACAGACCTCTAGAGGGCACCACCTCACCTGACCCTGTATGACAGGCATCCAGGTATCTGTGTGCCCTGCCAGAGAATGGCCCAGGGAATGCTGGGCAGGGTTGGCCGAGGAGGTCACTCAATGCTGCCCTTTCTGGGATGGTTGTGAGAAGTTCTGGCAGTAGCACTGGCAGTAGCACCCAGTTTGGGGGTGGGGGTGTTAGTGTCTGACTAGAATCTGCAGCCTTTAGGAGAGGTCCAGTTTGCTTATTCCTGCATGGGGGGTGAGAGTCAGCTCCCCCCCCCCACCCCTGGGGTGTCACAATCATGAACTCAAACCTAGGTGTCCACCGGGCTGCCCCCACTCCAGTCCCCTTTCCTCCTTTATGAGATGGGAGGCACTAATAGCGCTTACCTTATACATTTCTGGTGGGAACTAAATGAGACCATGCCTAGGCTGAGGACTCCCACGGGCAGTGGAGGCCTGGAAGGCCAGGAGGAGCACCTTTATCCACCGGCCTTAAGGAACACCAAGGCTTTAGAGCTGGCGTGGCAAGAATAGAGGATATTTCCAGAAAGCCACTCTAGTGGGAAAAGATGGACTGGCTGGGGGCAGTCTGGAGGGGCCAGCAGAAGAAGGAACGCCTCTGTGTTCCCCAGTACCACTGGGCAGCAGCACGTGGAACTGGGACCCAACCCCCAGCAGTGGCCTCCCACCACTCCCTCGGGCCCAGCCAGATCGGGGTGTGGGATCATGGCCCTGGGCCACTGGCAGGGGTGGGAGTCACTGAGGGTCAGGGCTTTGTGGGACATGTCAAGAAAGCGGAGCATGAATTAGAGCTTTGAGAGAAGGGGCTTTGAGTAAAGCTCGCAAAGGGGGTGGGTCTTTGGGGGCGGGGTCTAGAGAGGCGGGGCTTGGAGTAGATGTCGCTGAGGAGGCGGGGTTTGTTTTGAGATGTGGAGGTCTAAGCTTCGGGGCTTGGAAGGGGGCCCCAAAGATCTAGGTAGAGGAAGATAGCACATGCGAGGGGGATCCTCATCAGGTGTCTGTTTTAACCCTAGAACTGGAAGAGGCCCACCAGAAGTGCCCGCCGTGGTGGTACAAGTGTGCCCACAAAGTGCTCATATGGAACTGCTGCACCCCATGGGTGAAGTTCAAGAAGATCATCCATCTGATAGTCATGGACCCCTTCGTGGACTTGGGCATCACCATCTGCATTGTGCTCAACACCCTCTTCATGGCCATGGAACATTACCCCATGACGGAGCACTTTGACCACGTGCTCAACGTGGGCAACCTGGTAGGGACAGGACAAGGGAGAAGTGGCCATTCCCAGGCAGGACAGGGGAGGGGACACAGGGCTCGATGGGGGCCATCTGGTCTGTGTGGAAATATGGGGCATTATTGGGGGGCATATGGAGGATATGAGTTGATGTACAAGGGAAGTGCATGAGGTGATCCATGGGATGTGGGATGTGGTATTTGGGTTTCAGGGCAGTTGGAGCAGAGAGAGTGGAGATGAGGTGCTAGAATCCTTAGGATCAGGATTCCAGGGAGGGATCTAGAGTCCAGACCATGCTCTGGGGGCAGAGACGGGGGGAGTTGGGGCTTGGAGGTGTGTGTGGGGGGGGGCTAGGTGACAAGTCTCTCCACTTTCAGAGGTTGTCGTGGGCCTAAGAGGGACTAAGAGACCTGGAAGTAGGGCATATATCATGGGCGCTCGGAACCAACAGGCCCCAGCTCACCGTGAAGGCCCCAGGGCACAGCCCCCCAACCCTCAGCCCCTCTGCCCCTACCGTTTCTCCAGCCTGGCCCAGCCTCCTCCCCTCTGCGCCCTTCCTGCTCCACTATTGTTGACACACGCTGATCCGTCTGCTTATCCCTGCCCATTAGGAGCATTATCACCTCGTTGCCAGCCCCGGTGGAGCCTGACAAAGGGAAATAAGCCGTGGCCTCCTCCAGCCCTCCTCTGCCCTTCCCGCTCCCTTCAAAAATGTCCAGGCTACTCCCCCCACCCCAAGGGTCAGGGGGGCCGAGGGAGAGTAAGATATGAGGCCTGGGCCAGGATGAGGTCTGGGTGGATAGCAAGGGAATCAGGCTCTGGACGCCCCAGCCTGCAAGGCAGGCAGGTCTCCCAAGGCTGCCCTAGGCAGTCTCGGCCAGGCTGGGCCGGAGGGTCCAGGGTGTGCCCTGGACTTGGCGCAGCTGCTCGGGTGTGCGTGATGGGCCTCGCCTGCCGCCTGCCCACCCCCTACCCACACTCTCCTGCCTTTTGGGCACCTGCTATGGCCAGGGACAGCTCCTAGGCGGGGTTTAGCATGTGCCTGGGCAGGCTGTGGACCCAGGGCAGCTGGTGCCCGGCAGGAAGGGGGCTGTGCCCAGGGAGCTTTCAGGGGCTCTGCAACCTTCAGACTCCATCTGTGTCCTGGGTTTCAGAAAGCAGCTCCGACCTTCTCTCTCTTCCCAGCTTTGCCCCCTTTTGGCCCCTGCCCTAGAATTCCAAATCCACCAAGATTTGCTGGGTTCTGGAACCCCCGCCAGTGAGGGTAGAGAAGCTGTAGGGTAGAGACAGGAGACTGAACTAAACAGGTTTGGGACCTGCCTCATTCCTATATGGGCGGCATGACCGAGCACTTGCTGCTAACGCCCCTGAGCCTCAGGTTTCTCACCCCTCCCAACTACATAGAAATCAGCATACCACTGAGGTCATGATGTGAACCACAAAGTACTCTGTGAGTGTTAAATATTATTATGCATGGGGTGAGATCCCAAGAAGTTAAATGGCTGGCCCACAGTCACATCGCCAGAAACGAATGGGTCCAGGTCTCCAGATGGTCCCATCTGCCCTGTGGCATGGCCATTCCACTCTTGTCTCAAGTACACACACACGTGGGTCATGGGTACCACTGCCTGACCCCTCAGGCCTCTGGACCCCTTGCTCCCCTCGGGCCCCACAAGATCTGCCAGGAGTTGAGAGTCGAGTGGGAGACTCCCTGAGGCTCTGTGACTGGGACCCCACCCCACCCCATAGGTCTTCACAGGCATCTTCACAGCAGAGATGGCACTGAAGCTCATCGCCATGGACCCCTACGAGTACTTCCAGCAGGGTTGGAACGTCTTTGACAGTATCATCGTCACCCTCAGCCTGGTGGAACTGGGCCTGGCCAACGTGCAGGGGCTGTCGGTGCTCCGCTCCTTCCGTCTGGTGCGTGAGACCCCAGGGCCAGGGCTGAGGAGGGGCAGGTGGGGCTACCCAGGAGGGTGGGAGGAGAAACCCTCTTGCATGCCACTCCACCCCTCAGAACTTTTCTTATTGGAAATAGAGAGAAAGGGAGTCCCCCATTATCACACAGGACTGCTGGGGGATGCGGGGGAGGGCAAAGTGACAGCCCCCGGAGCTTGACCCTTAATGACCTTGGATAGGAATGGAATGGTGGCCCATACTACAGGCCTGAAAGCTGAGGCTTAGGAGGCTCACTAGTAGTGGAACTGGTACTCCGAATTAGTGTCCTTTCCACCACCTCCTAGGAGCACTTTTATTATTTTTGTAAGCTTTATTATGGAACGGACCCTTCATGTATCCACAAAAGCATAGAGGAAGTATAATAAACCTCTATGTACCTATCACCCAGCTTCAACAGCCATCGATATTTTATAGCTCTATCTGTCCCCCAACTTTTTGTGGGGGGAATATGTTAAAGCAAGTCCCGACATATAATTTCACTTGTGAATATTTTAATCTGTATCTTTAACAGATAAGGCCTTTTTTTTTCTTTCGAACACATGAAGAGCATGAGGTGGTAGGATGTGAATGTTCCCATTTAGCAGAGGCAAACTGAGGCCTCCGATCACTCAGAGAATAGGGGTTCGAGCTGTTCAAGGTGGTTCTTCCTCCTAAGGATGGGGCTCCCCCGGGTTGGACCAGGGGTCCCTGGGCCTCATTCGCCCCTGCCCTCCCCTCACCCGGCAGCTGCGGGTCTTCAAGCTGGCCAAGTCGTGGCCCACCCTGAACATGCTCATTAAGATCATCGGCAACTCCGTGGGGGCACTGGGCAACCTGACGCTGGTACTGGCCATCATCGTGTTCATCTTCGCTGTGGTGGGCATGCAGCTGTTCGGCAAGAGCTACAAGGAGTGTGTGTGCAAGATCTCCGAGGACTGCAGCCTGCCCCGCTGGCACATGCACGACTTCTTTCACTCCTTCCTCATCGTCTTCCGCATCCTGTGTGGGGAGTGGATCGAAACCATGTGGGACTGCATGGAGGTGGCTGGACAGGCCATGTGCCTCACCGTCTTCCTCATGGTCATGGTCATCGGCAACCTAGTGGTGAGTGAGGCCGGCTGGGTGGCTCCTCCACCCTCGCCCAGGAATTCCAAGTGTCCAAGATGTGGCCGTTCCTTTATTTCCTTTGAATTGGGCTGTCATTCAGGACCCTTTTCCTATGAGATTGAACTATCTGAAATCGCTGTTTTCTACCTTCCTCCTTCCCTGCCCCAAAATGGCAATTTTGTGTGGTTTAATCCAGTGGCTCTCAAATTTTAACCTGCTTAAGAATCACCTGGGAGTTTCTTAAACCTAGATTCCTGGCCCCGCACCCCAGATTCTGATTCAGCAGCTGGGCCTGGGAATCTGTGTTTCTAAGGAACTCCAGGCCATGACGCTGCTGCTGGCCCAGGGACCACACTGTCAGTAGTACTGTCGAAACCTAGTGTTTTGGGTAAAGTAACAAAGTCAGACAGACCCATGTGCCGGTCCCAGCTCCTTCACCATCTGTGTGACCTTGAACCAATTACTGCTCTCTGGTCGGCTGGGTTCTCTAACTTCACATGAAAGGAAAATGTTAGGTACCTTATAGGGTGCGTGTGACGCTGTGCAAGAAAGCACAGAGTAGGATTGGTCTTAGGAGCTCCTGGGCTTCGTGTCCTTCTCCCACCCTCGCACCCGCCTCTGTTCCTGGGGATCAGGCCCCAGTGTTGGGACAATCCAGAGATGGCATAAACTGCATCCATCCTGCCACTTTCTGTGGCTCTGGGCTTGGCATGTGAAGCTGGTGCAGAGGAGAGGGTGCAAGGGCCCATGAGAAACGGGCGTGGGGCTGTGGTCCAAATGACTAGCATTTCTGTGGCTAGGACCTAGGAGGCCGCGCTCCTCATCCTGCCAACCCCAACTCCTCCCCTTCTCTGGTGGAGTGGGGGGTCAGCCCTACCAGGAGTGCTGTGCCCAGCTGCCCCCTGCTGTGGCGGGCACTGCCCTGGGCAGTGCGTTGGGAAGATGCACGTCCCCACGTTCTGCGAAGGCCTGTGCAATCCTTGGGCTGCTGGATCAGCGCTTCTCAGATGTCTCTGAACTCTGGCTGAGGCAGGAGCGGACTGCTGGAGGAGGAGGATGTCACCTCGGCTGAGGAGGAGATCGTGGGATGAGGTCCTGGGCCCCCAGGGACAGATAGACAGGAGAACCCAGCCTGGCTGTCCCTGTGAGGGAGGCCTTGGGGAGTGGAGAGAGAGAGGGAAGATGCCTAGGCAGAGCTCTGAGGCAAGGCTGGAGTGGGAAAGCAGGCTCTGAGTGACAGCTTGTGAATGTAAGTTTAAGGGCCTGGGGGTGACAGGCCCTCAGGGTCTATATGTGTGCCAGCTCAAAAACATTTCAAGCCCCCACTTTGCCACTACTGTCTGGGAATCCTTGGGCAAGTAAGTTATTTAACTTCTCAGGCCTCAGTTTTTCTCATCTGGAAAATGGGGATGCTAATGGTGGTGACTTACTTCACTGGGTGGTCCTGAGGATTACATAACACACGTGCTCGGTAAAGCACTTGGCCTGTGTGGTGAGGGGAGTTCAAATGTTACAGGCATGTGGGAGCAGTGGGGGTGTAGATACCCGCCATCAGTGTCATACTCCTGAGTTTTGGGCTCCTGCCACGTGCCAGTCCCTGCTTGAAGGGCTTTATTTGCATTATCCCTAATGCTCTCGACAAGCCTGTGAGCTGGGTCATGTTGGCTCTGTGCTCCGAGGAGGCACTGCCCAGAACCACAGAGACAGTGAGGAACTGAGCCTGGACTAGAACCTGGGTCTATGTAGCTCCAGTAACAATAATATAATTAACAATAACAGTAATGGTAATAGAGATAGTTGTCAACACCAGAAACCATGATGACAGTCGACCTTTATTTAGCATTTATCTAGCGTTCTGAGCACTTGCCTGTATTCATCTCTACTTTGTAGATGAGAAAGCAAAGGCACAGGGAGGTAACTTAGCAACCTGTGCAGGATTTTAACCCAATCAGTATGGCTCCAGAGTCCAGGACCAGTGGACTGCACTGTCTCTGTGTGCATGTCACCCTCATCTTCCCATCACACACACACACACACACACACACACACGCTCCCTCACCACCAACCCCCAATACCCTTTTCCAGCCCAGCTCTGTGGTTCTCCCACTTTGCTCAGAGGGAGTGGAGTGGCTGAGGGAGGCGGCACTATCAGCTCCTTGGGCACTGTCCCCATCCTGCCCCAGGCTCATGGAAGCAGGTGTCTGCGGAGGGCACAGGGGCACCCTGCCAGGGAGTGTGGGGACCCGTGTCCACTGTGTCCATGGCACTTGGATACTTCCTCTGGTTCCTGTGAAGAAGAGGAAGTGACTAGGTCATAGATAACCCACCCCTCAGAGCCCCCAGGGGAATGTGAAGTCCATCCCCCAGCCCTCTGGCCCCCATCCCCTTGCCTTGCCTGAGGTGGCTATTTTTATCGCAAGCAGGAGCCGTGCGCAAACCCTGCTGACCCAGAGAGCAGCTAATTCCCATCTCAGATGTGTTTCTGGCAACTGGATGCCTTCCTCCAAGAGAGGGAAAGAAAAACCAATAAATTTTGGTGAGGGGCAAAGTCAGAAAAGTAGCAGGGGACATGGAGATGGGTAGAATACCCCCAGCACATTCCCCCAAAGAGAATATATGCAATATACAACACATATGTTTTAAAGATAGTGGCATGATAGTCCAGACAATGACAAAAAGACATTGGAGGACACTGGTGAATGTCAGACAGTGAGAGACACATGCAGAAGATGGGCAAGGGTGGCAGATTCACATGTACAGGCTCCCTGCTCCTTTGCATCCACTCACTCACCCAGCCCCTCCTCAAGGCCCCCAGAGAAAGAACCTGGTTCTGCCTTCCATTTTTGCACAAGTAACAGCCAACATGTTTTGAGTGCCTCCTGTGTGCTCTGCTTGTATTGATCTTTCAATTCTCACAACCATGTGAGGAGGTAGGTACTGGAATCATCCCCATTATACAGATGAGGGAACTGAGGCACAGAGTCGTGACGTGTCTTGCCTCAGGATACACAGCTGGTAAACTGGGGTTCCAAGCCAAGCACCCATCTCTACTGTCGTGCAAACACACTCTATTGTATTTATCCGATCAAATGTCTACCTTTACTAGGCTGGAGCTCCCTGAGAGCACTGGCTCCTGCACACACTGGGAGGGGCTCAGTAAATGTCTGTCTACTCGAAAATAAAGTTGACAGGGAGTAAACCAGTAGCATCTTAAGTCCCTTTCAGCAGGGCTATGGGAAAAGAACCAGGGGAAGCAGGGAACCAATGGGGAGAAGAAAGAATAAATAGCAGTAGGTCAAATGCCCCTTCCAGAATAACAGGGGACATGTACCCGAGCACCAGGAGCACAAGGTCTGTTAAAATCCCACTTAACAGACAAGAAAAGGAGGCTCAAAATATGCAAGTTCCCAGTAAGTCCTGGAAGCTCAGAGATGTGTGCCCTGTTCTTTATTCTGTATCCCCTGGCAGTGGAGGTGGAGGACAGCGTCATGGAAAGGGCCCCTGTCACCCAGTGGGCTTCCCCACGCTTGCTTTGGCCTTGGTCGGCAGAACCCCATCCTGTGACCAAACCTCAGTTTCCTTATCTGCAATTTGGGGCTCATAGCAACACTTGTCACCTCCACGAGCAGTCGTGAGGGTTCCATTAGGTAATGTCCTTTTAAATGCCCACCATGAGGTACGTCTGACCAGGAGTCCTGAGGACCCTTGGCAGGCTGAAGGTGCCACCCTCAGGGGTCCGGAGGCTGAGCTGAGGCTCCCCCACCCCTGTTCCCCAGGTCCTGAACCTCTTCTTGGCCCTGCTGCTGAGCTCCTTCAGCGCTGACAGCCTGGCGGCCTCAGACGAGGACGGGGAGATGAATAACCTGCAGATCGCCATCGGGCGCATCAAGTGGGGTATCGCCTTTGCCAAGGCCTTCCTGCTGGGCCTGCTGCATGGCAAGATTCTGAGCCCCAAGGAGATCGTGCTCAAGCTCGGGTGGCCGGGAGAGGCCGGGGAGACCGGGGAGGCTGGGGAGAGTGCCCCCGAAGATGAGAAGGAGCCGCCGCCTGAGGAGGGGGACAAAGACCTAAAGAAAGACAATCACATCCTGAACCACGTGGGCCTGGCTGATGGGACTCCTACCAGCATCGAGCTGGACCACCTCAACTTCATCAACAACCCCTACCTGACCATCCACGTGCCCATCGCCTCTGAGGAGTCCGATCTGGAGATGCCAACAGAGGAGGAGACTGACACCGTCTCAGAGCCTGAGGATAGCAAGGTGAGCCCATCGCAGCGCCTGGCTTGTGGGATCCGGGGTCAGACAGACACAGCTTCACAGTTTTGTGTGACCTTGGACAAGTCTCCAAGCTTCAGTTTCTCCATCTGTAAAATGGGGGTAATGGTACCTACCTCGTGGCATCCTGGTGAGCAGTAGATGAGCTCTGAGCTCTCTGAATAGTGACTGTCATTGCTGCTATTAACACAATTGTTATGACCTGCCCTTGCCTGTCCTAATACCCTAGTCTCCTCCCTTCACTCCTACCCCGCAACTCCACCAGGGCCCCCATCTTACCAGCAGGTGGCGCTCTTGGACAGGATGTTCCGACCTGTGGCACCTCAGCTCCAGGGCTAGGACCCAGGAGGCCTCTCTTAATCCCCTTCTTGGTTTGAAGCCCCTGCCAAGGTCTTGCCATTGTCATCTATTTCTGTTTAGAGTCCACCTGGGGTTGGTCCCAATCTCCCAGCGTGGGCCAAGCCAGGTCTGGGCTGGGGACTCTGAGGAGAGGAGCCAGGGGCCAATGGGTTTGGGTAGAAGGAGAACAGAGAGCTGGGGCACAACCTCAGCAAGAGCCCTGACCCACCCACCCACCCCTTGCAGGGGGGCCTGCTGCTTGACTGAGATGCTCCCTCCTCCTGTCCCTCCCCTGAAAGGGTGGGAAGGATCTGGCAGTGACCCCCAGAAACTCAGGCTGAAGCTGGGCTCTCGCGTGGGCTTCCCAGGGAAGCTGACTCTGAGCCCCTTCACCCACCCTCCAGCTCTGGCCCGGGAAGGAACAGCATAAGCTAGGTCTGGGCCCCCTGCCCACCTCTACCCTACTGGCCTTGGGCCTGGCTAGAGCCTGAATGAACTTTGCCCTGAAATCTCTTGACTTCTTATTCTCCCCAAATACGTGGCATGCTGACTTACCAGGGGGCTGCGTGCCTGCCAAGCTAAAAATACCCAGGGAAATGTGGCACCGACCTCGGTATGAGGAGCGAGGGTGGGAGGGAACTGGAGAACGCCCAAGGCCAAGGCTCTGAGCACTCTTCAAAAGGGGACAAACACGGCTCCAAGAGGGACGGTGGGAGCGGGGGCACACAGGTGGGGCAAGTGGCTCAGTGGATGCCCTGGCTGACCTAATGCCCTGTGCCTCAATTTCCCTTTCTGCCAACTGGGCACAAGGACTCCCCTGATGTCCTGGTCACCATTCTGGATCCAGAGTTGGCCTCAAGCTGCCCTCTCCATCTTCCTCTTCAGGAAGGGGTCCCCTTGAGGAGTGGAGTTGGGCCTGGGATGCTGACCTGGGGCAGCACTAGGAGGAGGTGGAGAAAGGCCTGGCCGGGCCGGAGCAGCCTCCCACCCTACCCCTCTCCCATCAGGTTGCCTTGGCCCCAGGCTGGAGCTCCAGCTGGGAAAATTGTCCACCCTGTCTGTATTCCTCAGCCAAACAGCCCCTGGGGATAGGAAGGCTCAGACCTGGGGACACTGCAAATTGTTATGTGCTGGCTGTGGCAGCTCCAGTCTGTCCTGACCCCCTTTTGTGACCCCTTAAAAGCACCTTCATGCCTACTGTTCCTCTACTTCCCTCTTCATGCCTCCCCACTCCTCCACCCCCAGCCGGCCAAGCCACCCCCCAGTCCGCTTGTCTCCCAGTCTCCTCCCTTCCCTGAGGCCCTCACATGTCTCCTCAGGTCCTCACTGCCCTTCCCCAGGCCTCAGCCCGGCCCTGCTCCAAATCTAACTGCCATGAGAGCAGGGCCACAGCTGCCTTGGTCACTGTGGTTCTTCTGAAGGAACACAGTGCCGGCTCCATATTCCATGGCTCAGTGAATGAATGAATGAATGAATGAATGAATAGGTCTGCTCCACCCCCTCCTTCTCCTCTACCTCTGGTCTCCCACCCTGACCTCCTTTGCCCCACCTGGTGGGAGGACCCAGGGGTCACATGATCCTGTGGCCCCTGCAGAAGCCACCACAGCCCCACGATGGGAACTCCTCCGTCTGCAGCACGGTTGACTACAAGCCCCCCGAGGAGGACCAAGAGGAACAGGTCCAGGAGGACCCCGAGGGGGAGCAGCCTGAGGAGTGCTTCACTGAGGGTGAGCCCACACGTGTGCATCCCCACCTCACCTGGTGTACCCCACCCCCAGCCCAGCAGACCCCAGCCCATTGCCTCCTCCAGGATATCTTGGGGACATGTGCATCACTAAAGGCATGTGGGGCCTTCTTCCCCTGATGCTACCCTGTCCTGCTGCACTGGGGAGGGGTGTCAGGGCCATGGGGCCTCCCAGCCCCTGATCTGAGCTCAAGTGTGTGCAGTAGGTGATGGCAGCACCCCGAGGGCTGCCATGCAGAGTCCCTGTAGAGCCCGAGTGTGGCCTGGCATGAAGCAAGTGCTCAGGAATGGCTGATCTAAGACTGTCGTCATCATCCTTGGCTTCGTCTTCAAGGAGAAAGGCTTGCCAGCCCTTCAGGAGACAGCCCCGGAGACACATTTTCCCCCAAACAGCCTGGGCTGTAGAGAGTGAAGTTTGCCTGGGTAGAGTGGGGGGAGGTTGGGGACAGCTGATAGCTACAGTACCAGGGATGGTGGCCTACACCCCTGCATGTCTTTCCTCTGTGTGTCCACCCCTGGCAGCAGCTGGCACAGAGTAGGCTGTGGAGGGAAGGGCTGAGGCCCCCATGCGAGGAGAGGGGCGGGACCACCCTACTTATCACCCATTTCTAACCAGCAATGGAGGACATGGAACCAAATGTTGGGGACAGTGAGGTGGAGGGCTGGAGGGGGCACCCTGGGAAAGTGGTGGGAACGTGCTGATTGTGCATCCAAAGACAGCCCGGAGGCCCATGATGTGGTGCCCCATTGCTCCCCCCAGCCTGTGTGCAACGCTGCCCCTGGCTCTATGTGGACGTCTCCCAGGGTCGTGGGAAGAAGTGGTGGACCCTCCGCAGGGCTTGCTTCAGGATCGTCGAGCACAACTGGTTTGAGACCTTCATTGTCTTCATGATCCTGCTCAGCAGTGGAGCCCTGGTAGGCACCCCCTTGGGGGATGAGCATGGGCAGAGGCAGGTGCTAGGCCCAAAGCAGGCTCTCTGGGGCTCCCTCCTGTCCACACCATGGGAGGGATGCAGCCTCGTCAGTCTCCAACCCAGAGTCCTAGAGGAATTCACCTGTGGTTGCAGGATATGTTATAGAAGGTATTGATTTTCTTAAAGTGACAGATGGGGTCTGACTCTGGGTGCACCCCAGTGACAGGTGCCAACCAGGGGGGAGGTGGGGCAGGCCCTGGGAATTGGGGGAGGAGCAGGATTGAAGATGTGTCACTGTGAAATTCCCTAGCAGATGACTGAGTGTTGCTATTATTAAGCCTGGGGAAGGGGAGCTAAGGGGCTTCTCCCCACTGGGAAACTCGCTCACCACCGTGATGAGCACGGGGAGTCTGGGAGAAGCCACCAGCCTGCCCTGGGCCCAGCCCCTGTGCCAGTCCCCTGGGAACCACCAGCATCAGGCAGGGTAGGGGACATGGCTGCTGCCCTGGATCTAGAGCCCTGGCCACCACCCCACTGCGCTGGTGTCCCCAGGCCTTCGAGGACATCTATATAGAGCAGCGGCGCGTCATCCGCGCCATCCTGGAGTACGCTGACAAGGTCTTTACCTACATCTTCATCCTGGAGATGCTGCTCAAGTGGGTGGCCTATGGCTACAAGGTGTACTTCACCAATGCCTGGTGCTGGCTGGACTTCCTCATCGTGGATGTGAGTCTGCCCCTGGCCCCACAGCAAGACCCCAAGGCTGTCCTTGTGGCCAAGAACCTTAGGAAGCCCCAGCCCAAGAGGAAGGAGCTGTCTGAGGCCACATAGTCCATCAGACCCCATCAGTGTGCCCCCTCAGAGACTGGCCTCCAGGTCCCTTGGACACAGCTGCCCAGGAAGAGGAATAACTGGCTGGGGGGATCTCCCTTCTCCTGAGATAAAGGGTTCGGAACCTTGGGGACCAAAGGGCAAATAAAAGGGTTACTTTTTGCCCTTGCCACTATCTGTGGAGTATTTTGTATCCTCTTTGATAGGCACAAAGGCCTCCCACTTACTGTCATCCCAGTTAATTGATGACATCACTGAGATGCAGCTCAGGCTCCTATAGTTGCTAGGACAGTTCCCACCAGACAGGACCACTCACTAGGGAAGGGGCCTGGGAGAGACATCCTAGAGCTATGAGTCCAGGAGGGGCCCCGCTGGGGACTTGTCCCCAAGGACTATGTCCCTGGGCTTGGGGGGAATCAGGGGTCCTGCACTCCCTGACACATGCACCCCCACTTTCCCTTTGCAGGTCTCCATCATCAGCCTGGTGGCCAACTGGCTGGGCTACTCAGAGCTGGGACCCATCAAATCCCTGCGGACGCTCCGGGCCCTTCGTCCCCTGAGGGCACTGTCCCGATTTGAGGGCATGAGGGTGGGTACTGAGCGGGGCTCTGAGTAGGACTGGGAATGGGAGAGCAGCTACCGCAGGGCAAGGTGCAGGGGGGTGCATGTCTCTACTCTGGCCACCACCAGGGGAAGCAGAGGGCTTGGCCCACGCCCCTGCTGAAGGCCAGGTTTGGGGGACTCAAGACACCCTCCCACACTAGCTTGAGTACCCATTCCAGCCTTCAGTCCTGCTTCTTAGCTCATCTCTGCCACCATTAGGGGGGAGCACGGGCTGCAGCAGCTCCCAGGAGGGTTTGAGGGCACCATGGCAGGGGAGACAGATGGAGGGAAAGCAGGTCTGTGGGCTAATGGGTGTCCCTCCCAGCCTCAGACTGGGACCCCCCACTCCCGCCTCCCGCCCAGGGCTCTGAGACCTGAGCAACCGAGCAGGTACCTGTGCCCAAGGCTCTGAGCCTCCTGGCCCTTGAGCTTAGGGTCATACCAAATTTGGTAAGATCCTTGAGGGTGGAAGTGACAGGTAAACACAGGTGTTGGGCAAGACAAATGGGACTTCCCCAGCAAAGAGAGGTCTGTTGGGAAAAGACCTGCTCAGAAGAGACAAACCCCCATGAAGTGGCTGATTATAGGCCAACAGTGCACTCAGCCCAAGTGGCTCCCCCTGGTTCATGCAAGGAGCCAGCCAATGCTGGGCCCTCCCACCCCCAGAGTGGGGGACCCTCCCCCCCTCTGAGGGGAAATGACCTTCCCACAGCCACACAGCTGATTGGTGCCCCAGCCAGGAAGAGAGCCCCCAGGGCATCACCAGGCCCGTGCCACCCACTCTGTCTGGAGGTCGTGAAACAGCTTCTCCTTGAGAAGGGACAATTCTCTGATTCAGCCCAGCCTGAAATAGCGAGGTCGGCCTGTGTGGCCAGGGCTGGGGGTGCACAGGGCTCCAGTTTCAGGGCCCTGCTGCTTTGCAGACCTGGCGGCTTTTTTTTCTGTGCCTGTCTCTAATGCTGTGAGCAGATGAGCTGGAGGCCGGTCACGGGGGCTGAGTTTCCTATGGGGGCTGAGGAAAGAGTGTTTGTCTCCTGCCTGGTGACCCATGGCCGAGCTGCTTCCAGAGAAACCCAGCACCCCTACTCTGAGTTGATGACTCCAGCCAAGCAGAGGCCCTCTCCAACCACCAAGGCTGGCAGCCCCCAACCCAGCTCTTTGCTTCCCTCAACCCCCGCCATACAGCTCAGCAGGCTTCTCCCCAGGCCTGGCTCAGGTTGGCCCTCTTCCAGGAAGCCTTCCCTGAGTAGCCATACCCAGCCCTGCCTGGTCTCCTGGTTAGTGTAAACGGGGAGCCATCTCCGGTGGAGATCGTGTGTCCTCCACCTGCCTGGGAGAAGATCTGTCCATGACCGCCTCCCTGGCCCCCCAGGTGGTGGTGAACGCCCTCCTGGGAGCCATCCCCTCCATCATGAATGTGCTGCTTGTCTGCCTCATCTTCTGGCTCATCTTCAGCATCATGGGTGTCAACCTGTTTGCTGGCAAGTTCTACCACTGCATCAACACCACCACCTCTGAGAATTTCGACATCTCTGAGGTCAACAACAAGTCAGAGTGTGAGAGCCTGATGTACACTGGCCAGGTCCGCTGGGTCAATGTCAAGGTCAACTATGACAACGTGGGTCTAGGCTACCTCTCCCTCCTGCAGGTGGTAAGTGTGACCCTGTAGCCCTGCAGGGCCCTGGGATGGAGGTGCCCCTCATCCCTTGTTGTACCTGAGCCCACTGCCACTCCTTGTTATGGGGCTGCCCACCCCACTTCCAGTGCTGCAGGACTCTAAAGTAGTGTCTAGACCTCTCTGGTCTCTATTGGATACCTGTCCAGTGGGGCTCTGGGCAGGGCCAGGCTGGGGCGGGCGGGGAGAACTCATGGATAATGGAGTCTGGGGGCAGCCTCCTCCCCTCACACCCAATCACACTCTCTCAGGCCACTTTCAAGGGCTGGATGGACATCATGTATGCAGCCGTGGACTCCCGGGAGGTGAGTGAGGGTTGCTGAGATGTGGCTGGTGAGCAAGCCAACGGGGAGGACTCAGATTGGAGACACAGTGGCACATGCTGCCCATCCCTGCCCGCCGCCATGCCACCTCCTCAGGAGCCCCTGGTCCCCTGGGGGTGGAGAGGTCCATCTCTGGGTCCCGGGCCCTCCTGCTCACAGTGGGACGGGGAGCACAGAGCAGCCAGCGTGTGCCCCCACGCTCACACAGTGCACCCCGTCCTGTCCTGTGGTCCCTGCAGCAAGAGGAGCAGCCGCAATATGAGGTGAACATCTACATGTACCTCTATTTCGTCATTTTCATCATCTTTGGATCCTTCTTCACCCTCAACCTCTTCATCGGCGTCATCATCGACAACTTCAACCAGCAGAAGAAGAAGATGAGTATCCAACCCCACCTTCCCTGGGTCTCCCCTTGCTGGGCTCCTTCCTCCCTTCCTTGGGTTACTCATCCCTTCATATTTCAAAAACACTGCCTCAGCACCGACCTTGCTGTCATTGACGGCATGCTTGAAGCAGCAGACCTGGGTTCAGATCCCACCGGGCAGCCTTGAACAAGTGACTCGGCCTCCCCAAACCTCGGTTTCCTTATCTATAAAATGAGAGCGATCCTACCTACTTCTCTGGGTCATTCTGAGAACCCAGCAAGATACTGATGGAAAGTGGCCCAAAACAGGCTGTGAGGAAGCGCTGGCCCCCCTTCCCTCTGTCACCCCACTCCTCTCCCCTCCTTCAACCCCCATCTCAGGCCCCTCCTGGTCCCCTTCCCCTTTCCACCCGACCCTCTTGCTAGGGTGGGGGCTGCTTGAAGGATGGTGCCTGAGGTAGAGAGGTCCTGGAGGCAGAGAAGGGGACCTCCCCAACCTTACGGGCCCCATCCCGCTATACTTTGGAGGGAAAGACATCTTCATGACAGAGGAACAGAAGAAATACTATAATGCCATGAAGAAGCTTGGCTCCAAGAAGCCTCAGAAGCCAATTCCTCGGCCCCAGGTACCAGCCCTCTGGGCCCCTCCCCTCGCAGTCTGTATGAGGCTCCTGCCTGAGGGGGACAACGGGGACAAAATGCAGCCTGCCCTCTGCCCTCCAGGCTGTGTCCCTGGCGTGAGGCTGGGTCCACCTGCAGGGAGGCTGGGTCCACTTGCTGGAGGGTTGCCTCTTTGTAACTATACAAAGGCACTGTGTGCATAAGCAGCAGCTGCCTGCTAAACTCCAGGTGCTGGTTTACCCCCCACCTGGCCCTGTACAGTCCCCCTGTCTCCTCAGTTGGTGGCCTCTGGAGCAAGGGCCCCTAGAAGTGGGAGGAAGAGAATGGCCAGACACCCTCCCCAGTGAGCAATGGCTTTGGGGGAAGGGGAAGGGGCTGTTTGGGGACCTTGACAGGAGGAAGGGTCTCAGAATGAGGAAGGATGGCCACTGACCCCATAGAATGGTCTGATCTGATGGGTCTGCCCTCCCTTTCCTGGCCAGTGCCACCACAAGCCCTCACACACACCTCTCTCTCTCTCTCTCTCTCTCTCTCTCTCTCTCTCTCTCTCT